GGCCATACTTTCTGAACCGGAGGGGGTACACATACATGTGTTAATGACGATTAAGTGATCGGTTTTTTGACCGCCACAGCTGTTACGAGGACGCTCACCGCTGAGAGAGCCTCGCGGGGGGCTGATCTGAAGGAAACAGCAGCACCCACCTCCTGGGAAAGGCTGCGAGTTGTCCTGAGTTGCTCAGTCTAAGCCGCGCTAAGTAGCAGGTTTGAGTGTCTCTGCTGGCACAAGAGATAATCTCTTCCTATATATGATTGACTGATGTTTTATCAAAAAATCAGACAAACAAGGTCTAAAGCTGGGATGTCCAAACAACCGGATTCATTAAAGTGGGAAGTCCAGGACAGGTTGACTTAAGGAAGACGGATGAATGTGTAAATGTATGAGACAGCCCATCTCGGCTGAAGCTTAAGGCTAAACGGTTAATTACGGTTTATGGACTGCGGCTAGATTGTGCTCTTAAGGGACAGCGTAAATAAAACACATCATTACTCAGGGGAGAGAGAATTGGCCGCCATCAAGGCAAAATTGACATTTTTCTGCCTCTGAGAACCTGTTGCTTTGCAACAAAGCTTCTTTTAATGCGACCCCGTCCAGCACCCATGAATAGCCTCGGTGGAGCTGTGTGCAGGGTGTGAGCTGTCCCAATGCTCAGTTTGCCAAACATAACAGAGTAAACAGAGGTTTTCTCACACTTAACAAGCAAGGGAGTGAAAGGGATATCTGAGTAGAACACTCAAAGCAGCCACTGGGTTTTAGAGGGAGAGAATATTTCTAATAATACGCCAATCTCAGAGGCATTCGTCAAATTAAACCTAATGTTACACAGCTCGCCTGTTATTTATGGAGTGCTACGTCTGACTGCTTTTGCATAATTTCTTCCCCATATGTTACGGATAGGGGTTTGGCGGTTTGCATGCAGGCAAAGAAAGCATATCGGTAGACAAGAAGTGCTGCCATTTCTCATATTTTAGGGCCTGTGGTGACATTTTATGACGTGAGTTGCCTTTTGTTTTTTGTTTTATTACAATGGTGCTTTTATTTGCTCTGTTGTTGAATATTTGGAAATCCCGATTTAGCAGTGCATCAGTGGAACATTCTCTGACTGCTTTCCATTTTACGGTGACACGGCTACACCAGCAGATCATAACCAGTGTGGGGAACATATACTGGCAGTATAACTCCTCATAATACAACTCTATAATGTTCATACGTGGCCTACATAAAAACTGAAATATGACTTTGGAAAAAAGGGCAAAAAATGAAAGCATGCAAACGTACTCACACACACATCCAACGCTGCAATGTATTTCAAAAGGAAAGCAAGCCATGAACGGCAACAACGAGTTTTAATAAAATGAGCTTTGAGAGAACTTGGTGTGCTAACCTCACAAAAACACAGCAAATAAACATCATTAAAAAGTGCATTCTGCCAGACTAATCATTCAACCGAAACCCCTTTAAAAAATAAACTCACCAAAGCTGTTAACACAAACACTCCGATCGACTTATTGTGGAAGTTTACCAGCGAGTGGAAAACAGGCGATAGGAAAAACTCACATTGAAAAAGCCACACCACATTGTGAGAGCTAATCCACAATTTAACTGCTCCGTAAAAGTTCATTTGAGGAACCTGATATTTTATTTGGCTATGTCTTGTATTGCCACAAGACTGCAGACTGAGTGAAGCCTTCATAAATGAACCATATTAAAAAGGGCCCAATTCTGCTCATTTTCAGGTTCATATTTGTATTGGTTCCTCTACTGTGACATGTCTTCATGCTTTAACGTTATTATTTGCGAAAGAGAAACTCACTCTGGAGGGAATGTTGGAATTTTAGCCTTAGCAGACCATTGACATGCACAACAACCTATTTTGCACACTACAGGAAAAGGGAAAACCCGAAAAAGCAGAATAAGGCCGCTTTAAGGCCCAGGTTAAGTTTTCTTTGTTGTTCTTGTTCAACACTTGATGACAGGAGATTGACAGATCATTATTCAAAGAATGAAGTCAATGAGAAAAAAACTCAAGAAGACTGAAGGGTTTCTACACCAGATGCATGGGAGCCATTTAACAGCATAAAAGATCCTGTTTTGGGGTAGGAATGGTCATTAAAATTCTTTATCTGCTAAGCGGTCGTTTAGCCCCCCCAAAACTGCCCCTCACCCAGCAGCTAAAAGGCCATATACAAACAGCGTGGCAGTATGGGGCGATGTGCTGGAGGGATGTGAAAGACATGGGATTTCTATGAGGCCACGTCCGCCATAATAGACATAGGCCAAGGGATTTAGTGTGCCTTCCCTTTAATAAATGTGACCAAACATCGTGCATGTCAATGCAGCCCGAGGACGCTCTCACCACCACACACAGGCGCTGAGGCAACAGACAGAAAACACAAATACAAATGTGTGTAGTGACATGAAAAGCAGGGAATACAAGCATTACTGTGAAGACACAAACAGGAGTTCTCTTAAAGGGGCCCTATTATGCTTTTTGGGGGTTTCCCTTTCCGGTAGTGTGTTAAATAGGTTTTTGATAAAGTTACCCTAAAATCTCTTTCCACTAAAGTTCCCTTTTCCTTTCCAAGACTGTTCCATTTTAGAAATCTAATACAAAAGCGTCTGGCAACTTTATTTACTTATTGTGAAATCAGTCAAGTGAACCAAGTAACTCCATATGGTGGAAATTCATTAAAAGTATTAAAAATGAAAAGAAGATAATTGTTTAGAGAATGAAAAGAATGCTTTCTAATTTCTTTCTGGGACTCATAAATGCTAATCGGTTGTAAAAACACACTTTAGAAGCTGCCAGATACATAAAAAACATATTTCCTTCAACCTCAGATGCCCGTTTAAATCAATTCAGCAAACACAAAGTATGTTACTGTGTGGCTCCGAATGCAAATCGTATTGTTTCACATTCTTCCCCAGGGGCGGAACTAGCAATGCTAAACAGTGGCTTACTAATCTGATCTTCCTGCAGCTGATCCCAGATGTTGGCCCGGCGTTAGGGTCCACCTCGGACCCCCCCGATGTTTCCCCGCTATCTAGCACAACTTGTAACTCAGAAACGCTGCAAAGAACTTTCCGTAAACAAGGAAGAGAGAGGGAGAAAAACAGAATATCCTCTCAACAAGACGCCTTGTAAAACACCTTTAAGCAGCTTGTGTGGATGCCACATTTTGGGGCTGTGCACAGATTTTCAAATAATGGCAAACGTTTGCCAAATTTGTCTGCTTTACTGAGCCAGAACCTATTATGGGAACCAGCACGCGGTGAGCTCTTTTGTTTCCATCCTTTTCACGACAGATTTCGGTCGGCACAGCAGGCGGAGAGGCTCTGCTCAATGACTTTACCTTCAATGAGATGACTGGAAGCGTCCCAGGAGGATGGAGCACTGTTAGCACGATACCCAGGCACATAGCTCTGGGTACGTGGACGTCTATGATTCATTCACAGAACAGGTTTTTAAAGAAATGCTGCAAACTGATCGTAAATCTTGTTGCTCTTGGGTAAAACACAAAATTATCTCTTCTGCTCGTGATGAAGTGTTTGCAGGGCATAGAGGCTACTACTACTCGTCCTTGGCTGTTGCAAATTTGACAATACAATTTATTTCCTGAGCAGCAGATAGTTTAGGACCTCGTCTGACAGAATAATACTTTTGAAGTCTGAAGTTTAAGGGTAATAAATCCTTTTTTCTCTCTCGATTACACAGCATTTTGAAGCCAAACTAGTCTTATATGGTAGTGCAGGAAGATAAAGGCAGGCGTCGGGATGTTAAGATGAATGTCTGTGGTTGAAAATGGGTCATGGTAGAAAGCAGACTTGGAAACATGTCTGCAACCGTCCACCTTCAACACTCCCTGCCAGATAGCGGCTGCATGGGAGAAGCATTCCCCCCCCCCACCGTCTCAGCCCAGGCCTAAAAAATGTGAGAAAATGCTGCCGAGTAATTTGGCCTGTACTATGATTATGGGCTTTTTGATATTTTGATATTCTACAGCAAATCCTTCTTTCTGCCTCGTACCAACATTGTACTGAAAAGCGCTGTCAAAATATTTTGGAATTGTTGTCAGGGCTCTAAATATGGACTCCTCTTGAAGCGTACTAAAAGGGATCGAATCCTAATTAGTATGTTGGGAAACTTTGTCCATGTGGCACAAACCTCTGTATGAAGCAAGGACATATCAACAATACATGAAGAGAATACACTCTTTCTTTGAAAAGGTTTGATTAATATACTTAAAAGTAACCAAAATAATGTAACTTCCTCTCCTGGAAATGTAGAAATTATTCACTGATTATGAAGTGGAAACTCACTCAGAAGTGTGTTTACATACTGTAGGAGTATCTAACATTTTTCATGCAACATTGTCCCAATTCTCACCAAAGCCTGAACAGTGTCAAAAATACACAGCGTTATGAATGGTCACATGGTCAGTCCAGGAATGAAACAGAACCACCCTCAGACCATGACGGCCGTGCCAGAGCAGCTCAGGGAAACATATACTTAACTGTGAACCATGTGATTTGGCTGCAACGGGGATACGCACGTACTCCTTTAACTGCACATTAACTGGTCTCCATGCAATAACAAGTTAACCTTTTATCTGGCTATAACAAGCTCTGCCGCCATGTCCAAATAAACAGAGGATGCTGTTCAATCGAACCCGCTGAAAGGACTTCTAGAGAATGGGTCAAAAAAAAAAATACACTGTTTTGTTAAGCTAAAAACTCCAGGATTGTTTAGCTTATTGTACCACACGAAAAGGGGACTGCACACAATATGAAATCAAAATGCTGTTTGTTGACATTGCTGTTAGTTTAGGAAAATATTGTTTTTCAGCTTGTTTTTGTTGGATGATTACAAAAATATGTATCTAGCTTTGCTTGAAAAAATAAACAATGTCGATGTCAGGACATATTACACAGTGCAAAAACGAATCTTTGCCAAAAACGTCAAACATTTGGAGATGGTATCACTGTGGTCTTACCTGAGTCAGTGGCTGTAATCAGCAGAATGTATTTCCCCTGAGCCTCGCGGTCCAGAGTCTGGGTGAGTCTCAGCTGACCGCTGGACGACAGACTGAACGCGCCCTCGTCATTCCCACCACTTAGCATGTAGCTTAGCTGGCCATTGGCACTTTGGTCGTCGTCCCTGGCAACAACCTGGAAAACCCAAAAACAGGTTCTTTAGAGATGTGTGCTTGAGTCCTAGAAGAACAGACTTTGGTAAATAAAGAGGACAGATTGGGAAAACTCCAAAAAGCATGAAATGGCCTCTTTAATAGAAGAGTTGGAAAGTCAAAGCATGGCAGCAGTGGCAGAAGAAACATGCATACTAGTTTAGTACAGTTTGACGTATTACTTCTCTATTTCAAAAAGTAACCCTTACTCAGACCAAAACTATGTAGCCTTAGTTTGAGAGAAGACAGGCAAAACATTGTTTTATATTTTAAAAGTTGTCTCTAATAGCACTAAAACACTCAACACACTCAGGTGTTTGTGGCTAGAGCCTTGCTAGGCCTGGTATGACCAGCGGTTTATGTTGGCTAGCATTGGCTAATATTGGCAAACAATTTTGCCGTGCAAGTCAGGTTGGTGACGATTATTAAACTATCCAAGAAAGGCTCCATAGTCTCACTTGACGTAAAGTACCTCAAAATTATATTTAAGTACAGGTTTTGCGTCAATACACGTAGTTTCTTTCCATCACTGGATACAAAACTTGTGCGCTTGGACTTTATAAAGTCTTGACTTGAAATTTCAGTGGATTAGTTCACAATTGATCTTTGGAAAGAGCTGCTTGGAAACCAGAGTAATGGCATTGGCACAATTTCATCCAACTAAAAACAATCACATTTTTAAGATTTCCAGCAGTTTTGTTGTTGTTTTTCTTCAATGCCATTTGTTTGACTTTCCTTGCTAGAAAATATGTTTCTCAATTCTCACAACCATATATACAGTAGCTGGCAGTAAGCCACTACAACCACCATCCTACTCTAAGTCTTTCCATTGAAGCAACTTACAGTTAATTACCATCGCGGTGCTGGGCGGCACCATGAATGTAATTGTTGAGGGAAGGAACACCATTACTTATTCACTTTGTCTAATCAGACTTTCATGGAATCCGTAAAAACAGAGAGTACAGATCTATATGTCAGTCTGACTTTTCCACTACCGCGTTTTACTGGTGTGCCCAAATGCCTCAGCCCTCCCTGCCGCAGACATATAGCCAGGTTAGCGTACAGATGTGTTCTGATGTGGCAAAAGCCCACCACGTCTGGACCCCTTCCCACCACATAAGTGTACCCCAATTTCCTCACAAGGTACACACGCGAAATAAAATGGAATTGTGCCGTCACTGGAAATCTGCCTTTAACCTCCATTTTTTTTATATATGGCTCATTTAGTCATCAGGGTGGCTGAGACTTTAATTGCTCCTTCACGCAATTTAGCCCGTTTCATATTTCGGTGAAATACTATAACTCCCTAATTGTGCAGAGCAAATTGTAGTCATATATCATTTCTATATACAGTAAATCTAGTCACATATTTTTCATAGCATTTTGAAAAACACAGACCACCATGCTACAGTAAGTGGTTTAGAGCACAGGTACCGCTCACATACCTGCACTTATTAAGTTAGTATTACTACAAATGCAGTTAAGGCATTAGCTTATTTGAGTTTTAGAACTGTCATTCAAAACACTGCTGTCTTTTCACTCAAGCAGTCCAGTGTCTGTGAATGTTATTGACATCCGAATTGCTTTAATTTAAATTAATCTTTGTGACAAAAACAAACAAACTGACCTGCAGAATTTTCTGGGGCAAGTTCTCAGAGTTCTCCAGAACATTGACGGTGTAAGGAGAGAGCTCAAACACAGGGGAGCAATCGTTGACGTCCAACAGAACGATGTTGACGGTCGCTCGGTCCACCCTCGGGCTGCTGCCTCGATCGGCGGCCTGGACCACCAGCGAATACGATGAACGCGCCTCGCGGTCCAGCTGCTTGGCCACAGAAATCCCCCCTGTAACCGAATCAATCCTGAAGTCAGAGTTGGTGTTGCCTCCTGAGATGGAAAATCGGATCTGCCCGTTGGTTCCCTCGTCTGAGTCGCTGGCGAACACCTGGATGACATCAGTCCCAGTCAAGGTGTTCTCCTCAATCTCGATGTCGTAGATATTCTGCGAGAAGCTCGGCGTGTTGTCGTTGACGTCCAGAACCATCATAGTGACATCCATTGTTGAAGACAGAGCAGGTTCGCCTTTATCTGTAGCTACAACTGTGAGGGTGTAGTTAGAAAGCTCCTCGCGGTCCAGTTCCCCAACCAACCTGACGTCTCCGTCGATCGTGCCGATGCTGAACTTGTTCCCGAAAGGTCCTTTCATGGAGTACTCGACGTAGCTGTTGGGTCCACTGTCAGCGTCCGTGGCCTTGGCAGTGAACACCACCGTATCCACCGGCGTGTTCTCCTGGATGTAAGTCTTCCTCTGAGAGGTGAAGGTGGGCGGGCAGTCGTTGATGTCCAGTAGGATGATGGACACCTGGGCGGTGCTTGTGAAGCGGGTCATTGGGGGAGGGGCCAGGTCGTTGACTGTGACCACCAGGTTGTAGAAGGATTGGGTTTCTCGGTCCAAGGCCTTCTGGATTTGGAGGACTCCTTCCTTGCTGATGACAAAGTGGCTCTGGGGATCACCAGAAGCTATTCTGTACAGGAGCTGAGCATTTGGGCCTGGAAAAGAAGCAGAAAGGGAATTACAAGACGATCATAAAGATACATAAACATTTTTAAAGTCAATAACAGCAGCCACACATTTCGGTAGGTAAGATAGTTATTGTTTTCATTGTTGACTAAGTCCCTAATAGTTGTATTGATTAATCTATTGATCATTTTGTCAATGACATTTTAGGAAATAGCAAAAAAAGACTTTAAAGGTCAAAAACAGGTCCATTTCTATTCATGTATGATTACGAATTGTCAAATTAATTTATTTGAGAAGCTTGATCCAGAAGAGTTAATAATTTGATTATAAAAACAGATTCATTTTCTGTTTGTCTGTAGTAAACTAAACACAGCAAATTCACCACTGTCAGTCCAAAGTGCTTCATACCAGAGGATACCGAAACACAAACAACACAGACAACAAATCTACTCTCTGTTATTTTAAATTACATTTTTATTTGTCTCCAAAGGTTAAACACATTACTCTCCCTGGCTGGAGAATAAATAAAACCTGGAAACAACATTTTATTTTGGCAGATAAGATGTGGGGTATTTTTTAGGCTGAGAGTTTGGATGCATTATTTACTACAAACCTTGTCTTGTCACACACAGTGCCAACAACAAATTAATCTCCAAGAGTATGACCTAGAATAAAATAATAGCCAGATAACAAATAGACAGGAGGATGTAGTGAAGGTTGAATGTTGATATAGCCATCCATTGTTCGAGATGTGATTCATCAATATTCTGTATGCGTATGAATAAGGCACTTATATGCGTTATCAAACAAGCATTTCCACATATTGTGCATGCAGTAGCGAGAGCTCTGGCTGCTACTACTCTTGTCCTCCAAGTACACGATCCATTCATGTAGCATGACAGATGGCTATCAATAGAGAAACACCACGGCTAACCACTTCCTAAACTGATAGTGTGGTTGTGACGTTTTGAAAACATGTATTTAAATTGTAAAGCTACAATGTGACCGAGTACATGGGTGCAGTAATATATCTATCCTTGAAATCAGGCGTAATCTGCAGCCCTCCCCCTGGAAGTGGGGGTTAAAATGGGGTTACAATGAGTCTGTAATTGAGCGTCTGTAATTCAACTCAACAGGGTATTCATGTGGAAAGCGCCGGCACCTTCCCACACTCCAGAGTGTATTTACAGTATACAAGTAATCCGTTATCAAAAGCTCGAATGCTGCTTCCATCCGAGTCGAGGCTCTAGAGTCTCGGGGGTCGGGGGTCAGGGCTTTGGGAAGTGCTAACAATGGCGGCGTTTTATTTTGACAGTGGAAAGCGGCAAGTATGTATCTGACAGGATGATGTGGTCAGATTATGTGGACAGTGGAGAAAGAAGCCAGACTCTGGTGGAGAGCTAGGCAGCGTATTTCCCAGGAATGTAGGTCACAATAACCACATTAGGTCTGGGTGAAGCGGTAATTACAGCGGAGGAGAGTAGCGGTGACTGTTCAAATACCACACGGCACTTCACAAACACAAAAACCCCACCACCTGAGACGCAGGAATAACTCAGGCCACTTAATCACACGGTGAAGATGTATTTCATCAAGTCACTCATGCAGGGCGCAAAATAAAAACGAAAAATAAAATGTAGGTTTGTGTAACCGACCGTCATAAAAAAAATGACAGGCAATAAATACATCTGCTTTGGTTCACTAACCATTGATTTATACAGTTTGGGAGTACATTACTGCTTCTAACATCCTCAAAGAACTGTTTTCTTTAAGTATCCGGACATCTCCAGGATACTTGACGACACTTGATTTATCTGGAATCTAAGTACACATTAAAGTATTTGTTGCCAACTGTTTCTGGTTCTAGTTTATATTTAAAAAAACATTTGTTATTGGTGGTTAAATCACAAGAAAAATTCATCTGAAAACTTGTATGGAGTCAAATCAGTGCCAAAATGTGGTGATTTGTTTTAGAGTTTGATTTGTAACGGGTAACCATTGTCAAGTTGTCAAATTAGGAAATAAAATAGAAACATATTTATTATAAACTTAAGTTGCACATTTTAAGAAAAATAAGAAAATAAGCCATGAGAAATTCAAAAGTGGAAAATTGCATCTTCTATTTATTTTTCTGAGATTATTTTTTCACGTATAACTTAAAAAAATTTTTTACAAAGAATGCATTTTCCAGAAATATAGTTTTCTGTTTTTTGTAGTATTTAAAAAAAAACAGCTTTCTTGAAATCCCTTACCTTGAAATATTATCACTCCTCATAGCAATACTTTAAATGCGTATTTATTTTTGATATAGCCGCAACATAATGTTTTATCTTGGATCTGTTATTATTAATATTTTATAATTGTGTGCTTACTGGTTTTATTAATATGTTATTCTACTTATTTTATGTTGCCTTTTATCTGCACTGTCCCCTTTGCTGTAAGACTCAAAATGTCCCCCGCTGTGGCACGGAAAAAAGGATTTCTGATTTCAGAGCAATAAGTAAGTAAGTAATCGTAAAGTTACAAAGTATTGTTTTCACTCCAGTCTTTGAATTGAAAATAAGTTACAAAATAACTAATCGCCCTATTTAATAATAATAATAATAATAGATTACATTTGTATAGCGCATTTCAAGGGACCCAAGGCTGCTTTCCATGGGGAACAAACAAACAAACAAACAAAAGGGGCAAATAATAAAGTCAAATGTAATGTACTCACCATCATCATCATCGCTGGCCCCCACAGTGACGATGCTGGATCCGGGCGGCAGACTCTCGGAGACAGACGAGCTGTAAGAGCTCGTGTTGAATACGGGCGGGTTGTCATTCACATCCAGGATGTTGAAATACACCCTGACCGTGCTGGCCTGCCCCCCGCCGTCCCGAGCCTTTGCCGTCAGGATATAGAACCGCTGGGTCTCGTAGTCCAGCGGACGCGTCACGTTGAAGACTCCGGTCACCGGGTTCAGGCGGAAAGTCTCGTCTTCGTCGTCATCTTCCAGCGAGTAGGTGACCTCCCCGTTCACCCCTGAGTCAGAGTCGCTGGCCAGAATAGCCGCCACAATGGAGCCTGCGAGAGTTGTACCACAGAGGCGAGAAGTTACACTTTATTGAAGAAAATAATTTAATATATCGACAGGGGACTTTATTATTGCAACTGTTTTGCTTTTTCACTGAACTGAACCATTGATCGTTATTAAACTGATGGCCTTTAAACATGATGCAATAACAGCCATGATTAGGTGTTTTTTAGTATTACTGGTACATATATCGTAATTAAGTCCTCACTTGAACTCCTGTTGGATCTTCCAAACATACTTTCCTCTTTCTTGTGATTTAAGTGGTGCCAGGAAGTTGTCAGTATTATTGTAAATCCTGCTGGTCGCTGATAGATTTCCATATAAATCAAATATCAGTTAATGTCCCTTTGACCTAATAAACTCTTAATTTTACCCTCAAGGAAGATAAAGAGGATTTGGGAGAGCTACCACTGTCATATAAAACATTCGTATAAAACATTGTTCTTATAAACCAAGCTGCTCAGATGATTTGAGTTCTTGATGACCTTAACAGAGCTATCTAAGTTCACTCTAAGGACTTTTGCAGAAGACGAAAAATTGCCTGTCTACATTATTCGATTCTAGTTTGTTTGACTTACTAACAGGAGGCTTCTTTGAATGACACTCACCTGACGCCATGTCTTCTGGGATATCAAAAGAATACGTTGCGCGGGAGAACTTGGGCGTGTGGTCGTTGAGGTCCTTCACCGTGATGTTCAGCCTCATGTCGGACGACTGTTTCCCATCGTCAGCCCGAACCAGAAGGGAATACTCAGAGCGGCGTTCCCGATCCAGCTTCTTTGTGGCGATCAGGTCTCCGGACTCAGGGTCAATCCGAAAGCTGTCGTCCGCCCCGCTGATGATGGTGTACGTCACAAGAGCATTGGGACCCTGAGGTTAGGAAGACAAAGTACGATTATAGTTTGAAACTGCAAATAAAGTAACCTCGACTCGAGTCAATCTGCATATTTATTCTGCCTGTTTACGGCACCAAACCTCACATTTTGGAATCAACATTTGTGTTTACGCGGTCATTGTTTCGAATGGATTAGCTCATCGGAATCAAAAACCGAGACCAAATGTTAGGTCAATATTTGCTGAACTTTTTCCCAGGGTTTAGAGTGAAAAAAGGGGCCAGTAAGTTTGTTGCACTCTTCTGAACCCTGGCTGCAGAGAGGAAGAGCATAGTGATTATAGGTATCAAAGGAACTCTATCTGGAAGGAAATCACGTTAGCACAGATGTTAGCGTGTCATGTCTTCAGATCAGACCACCTTCTGTACTTCTCTAGCATGAATGAAACCCTTCATCAAGGAGACACTACATACATACAAGCGTGACAGGAGAGGAAAGAGAAAACGGATGAACAAACATGAAACCAACTCACAACTTTATGATTGTCTAATATTAAAAAGAGAACATCCTAATTGTAATTTATTTCCGCTTTATTCCGGGTGTTTGATGTGAAGGTGGGGATGCAACTGGTTGTTTGTTTTCTTCTTTGAAAAATACATGTATACAGTAGTTTGTATCATGTTGAACATTTTACGTAGGATATTCAAACCATCACCTACTATTTTCTGTATATTGTTATACAGAAACGAGTCAATTTCAATTATGAACACATACAATTGAAAAAAAACTCTGTTTCCACATAAAAATTGAAAATACTTGTGTCAATATATTTTTGAAAGAAGGTCATATATAGAAACATATATATTGGATTTCACAGTATTCTTAAAAACATTGTATTTGCACGGGACAGAGGCTGAGTGTTTTTTTATTTTTATTTTTTAAAATCTTTATTCAACCAGGTGAAAATCCCATCGAGATCAACGATCTCTTTTTCAACTGAGACCTGCAAAGTGTGTCAGTAAATTGGAAGATAACTTCACTTGCTTTCATAAAATATGACTTCTGGCAGTCAATGAGGCAGCACATTCTTGATATAATGGAGATGTTAGCAGAGCAGCCACTGTGCTTTTACTTGAAGCACATAATCTGTAATAACATGCTTCATCCAAATCAAAAAGAGGTCGGGTCGCACCAGCCAGAGAAATAAAAGCAGCGGTTGAATGGCGACGTTCTGGTGAGTCTTTGAACTTCTGTGAGCTATAGTGTTCCTCTATAAATGCAACTAATAGATCCCCTGTTCCCTCAGACAACTACAAGCGCCGTGACACATGTGATGGCTATAGCGAGAGGCTTTGGAATAGGAGAGCGGGACTGAATGGGATATGACAACTGAATGAATCTGACGACAGCGCTTGACATTTATATTTGTGCCAGGGACAATAAGAGATCAGACAACTGTCTCACTCTGTGTCTTCTGCCAAAAAGAAAAGGCAACATCAAAAAGCTACTGCTATTCAGTGCGATGGCGCTCTGGTTACAGCTGGCTAAGCTAAAAGAGACCCTTTCAGCCATGTCTGGTGTTTGTGTGATGCTTTTTGATCCTGCCAGGACAATGGGAAGCTTATATGGGGAGGTGCTGCATTAAGCTAATGCTTTATCTACATCGGCACATTTACTGCCTCGTAGACAATGGTGGTCACATAACAAGCTATATTTTACATTAACTGTATGCATGCAGCAATGTTGGACGGCAACATTAGCTGTCACTCAATTTAATCTCTAGCTCTAAGGCATGTAGTGGTAACACTCACCATGCAATTTACACAATCAACCTCTCGTTAACAATTGCACAGTTTTCTATGGAAAGACACTATTTTTAGCATATTAGCATGAAATTCAAGTTTGTCATGCTGTATTAAAGTCCCTGTCGTTGCGCTGCTAGTCACTAATTAGCCTCTTTGCACTTCTGACGCTAGCGCCTCCTTGTGTAAAGTGTTTCAATTAAATCTGTCAGCTTATTTTTATGATGTACACTGTAGACATCTAGATTGCTATAGAAAGAAAGGAAGATGTACTTTTATAAATCCTTGAGGGGAGATTCAATCTTTCACTCAGTGTATTTATTGTATACACACATAGGTCAAAATACACACACAAACCAATGCTTGGTAATGCTCAGAAGGTGAACTCAGGGTGTTTCTCAATCTCGAGGAAGGCTGCTCCAGAGCCACTATTTCAAGCATACTACGTCATCGAGTCCCGCCAAAGGACTGTTCCAATGTCCAGCATACTTGGAATTCTAACGAGGCCGGCGTACTTCGTAGCGAGAAATTTTGATTTGTGTGGACTCCGCGGTCTTAAAATCCCCACAATGCTTTGCGCACGGACCAATTTCCGAGTCTTTGGCGGAAATCGCGCTCCATTTAAGGCGGGGCCTCGCATATGACGCACACCTGTTAGCCTGTTCCACAATTCTTTGTTTTCCGAGGAAGGATTCTTGCCTCGCTTCTGAAGCAAGTGACTCGGAAGACATGTGCTACCAAGCAAGCGTCCTCGACACCCTCAGTCTGTATTTAGTCTGACTGGGACTTGAACTGGCGACCCCTTTGATTCCCAAATCAAGTCCCTGGACTGAGCTACAAAATATGACCCCAAATATACCAAAGCAGTACTTGTTGTCAGAAATGTTGTCTTATTGAAGGAAACCGGAATTGCCGGTTAATATAACTTTTGACTGCATTAGCAATCAGTGAACGTTCTACATGCTGGTAGATAAAAGGTGACAAAAAAGTTAGAAAAATAATGAATTTAGCAGTAGATATTTTTCATTATTAGACTTGATTTGATGATGTAACAGACCGGAATCAAGTTAAATTCTGTCTGTCTGTTTTTTTCCTCCTCCATGTTCAACAGACCTGGTGCATACTGTACATTTTAATGCGCCAACATGTCTAGACACGGAGTTCGCTCGTCAAAAACTTAAGTAGAAGTCAATATCGAAAGGCCCAGTTCATGCTGGCTCTTATCTCTTTCCCGAGGCTTGTTTTTACGACGGATAAAACCTCCGTCTCCTTGCCCCGGCCTCTCATTGCATTACCAGAGACCCGGTCAGACATCCAGGGCCAGTAAAAAAAAAAGGACGAGGAGGACGTTGCGAGGCACCGCTCATCTAAAGATCCTGCTGTCATCAATCAGTGCCTCCAGATCTGGCAATCCCATCAGCCACCTGGGCCGAAGTCCGGAAACCAACACCCGCAGTTTGCCAATTAATTTTCTGATAGGGTTCAAAGGCAGAGCAAAGTGAGGAGGGAGAGCAGGAGGTCCAGCTCGGCCACAGTCCAACACACACACTTGTACATGCATTAAAGGTCATCTATTATGCAAAATCCACTTCTTCATGTATCTTCTATATCAACATGTGTCCCCTCTTCTTCATGTCTCTCCTACATCAACATGTGTCCCCTCTTCTTCATGTCTCTTCTACATCAACATGTGTCCCCTCTGTGGAAAGAGACTCTGAAAGTTTCAGGAACAAAGATTCTCTCTCTTTTTGTCCTGATCCATTTCTATAAAAACCTGTCTGAAAATGAGCTGATCAGATGTTGGCCACTTTGTGATGTCATAACGATGTGTTGGCTTGTGTAACCATTAGCCAATCAGCAACCAAGGTAACCCCCCCCCCCCCCCTTATCACCTGAATCTCCTCCTAGAGCACCATTGAGTTCTTTGTAATAAATCTCTCTCAGAGGGGCGTGGGGAGGGGCTCCTTATTTTCATCTAAAGTAACAGACAGAGAATCAGCACTTTGGAAACAGG